CGCAGAACCGGGCCGGGCGGGGAAGGTGCTGGGCCCGGGCGAGGAAGAGGCGGGGGCCGAGCGAACTCACAGATCCAGAAGCTGACTGACCGGCTCCGGATGGAGCATCGCGGCGGTCCCTCGAGAGCCTCCTCCGCAGTCCCAGGGCCGCCTGAACCCAGCCAGAGACCGTCCTTCAACTCCTGCTCCCCACACGAACGTAGGACCTCGTGACGTCACACAGCGTCTTCCGAGGACTGGGGCGGAATAGGCGAGGAGAACCCTGGGGGCGGAGTCTTTGAGAGCTTCGCGGCAGGGGCTGTGGCGATAAAATATAGACTAGCCCTAAGCTCGCGTGAAGCACCATGGGAGTTGTAGTTCTTCCACCCCGCGGGCTCCAGCTCCAGGCGGTTTCCCCGGGAGATGCAGTCTCACGCGCAGCCCAGCCGGTGCGCCTCTGGCCGCGCGTTGCTGCGTTTACTACAGGGACGCATTTGATGCTGCGACATACGTTTAGCGGTGCAGAGTCTGGAGAGCTCTGGACACGGGCTCCATTACCGTTAAACGGAGCATTTTAGAGGATCCGGGGATAACTGCGGTTTACTGAGCACTTTCTGTGATGTGCGCACTGCGCTCTGTGCCTCCAATAATTAACCATGGTTATTAATCCTGTGAAGTTGGAGTTGAGACTTATTTTACAGATGAGAGCATTACATGCTAACAACAACCAAAAAAGCTCCGTAAGAACTTCATCACGGAGGTAGAGGTTTTATGTTAATATCAGAAAGGATTCTAAATGTCCACCCAGCACAGTCATGAGGCTCTGGCTTGAAATAAATGACAAATAATTATTAAAGGATCTTAGGATATTCGGGTCAGAAGCACAACTAGGCACTACCCATAGTGTTGCGAAGAAGAGAAGCTGAGAGGTATTATTATTATTTAAATTATAGTTGGCATATAATAGTGATTGGACGTTTATGTACCTTACGATGTGATCACCACACTAAGTCTATAACCACCAGTCACTGTGCCAAGTTATTTCAAACTTAAACTGAGAGTTTTTATAAGGAAAAGTCACATTCCTGAGAAAAATCAGTGCTGCATTCTCAGCCTGTGGATTAGTTCACGATGGTCATCAGCCAGATGTCAGGTGGCCTGGAGACTAAACATTCTTTCCTGCTCTTCAGCGGGTTTGGACATAGACGAGCTCAGGGGAGGCCCTCGGGCCTCACAAACCCAGAGAGGGAAGACAGCCAACCGCCCGGGGTGGTCTGAACTTAAAAATTCCTAAGGAAAAGCGTAGGCCTGCAGCTTCCTTGACAAAGGTCAGTCTTTACCTCTGGAATTGTCTGTTGTCTCTGTGCATCTAAGATAACATACCTTTGAAACGTCAGAGTAGTTTGTTTTTCCAGACCCCTTTGCAGGCACCACCCGGGGCACCAGAGCAGGAGACCACAGAACCCCTCATGGTTATCTTATTCCCCTGCATACCATCGAAACAGGAATTTTAGGGGAATATAGGCAGGTTTAGGGAATTTTTAGAATTGGAGTCCATGGAAAAAACATAGGGCTACAGATTGGGAGAAGGTACATTTCCATAACACAAGGAAGCCAGGGGCAGTTATATTTCCATTAGACAAGGGAACTGGAAGTAGCCAAAAAAGGTCTATATTTACAAAATAAAGAAGGAAGAAAGCAGAGAAGGAATAGGAGGACAAAGAGGGAGGAGGCTGAAAGGGGATATTGACCAATCAGAGAGGATGTCAGTACACAGGAACTGCAGCTTTTATTTTTATTTTATTTTTATTTTTTTTTTAGGAACTGCAGCTTTTATAAACCATGGAAGCAGGAAGTCAGTGGGACCCTTTCCCTCTCCCCACGTGGGAGTCTGTACTTGTTTTTCAATAAATCTCCACCTTTGCTATACTACCCTCTGTCTGTGGGTTCGTTCTTCAACTCGGCGGACAAAGAACCCGGGTTCCAGTCCAAAAATTCCATTTCACCATCTCTATGAGCTGTCAGTGTTAATTATTAACCATCCTGTACCCAACCAATGTAAAAGAAGTATGTGTCTCTACATTTTGCTTCTTATCCAATCTCAGAGGTCTCCCCACTTTGCTCTCTCCTGCCCCCTCATGTACTACAGATGAATGTCATGGAACCTTCCTTAAGGCTTTTCCTTTGAGTCTAATGTATAAAATAAGCTGCAAAAGTGCTATTCTCTGGAGCGTTTTCTCAATCTGTTGAGATTTTGCTTCCCGGCAATTGTCTTATTTGGTTCAAATAAACTTTCTCTCAGACTGGATATTCTATCACCAATAATATATATATTTATCTCCAGGAACAACTGAAATGTTCAAAAATTTAAGTTCCCAATCTAGTTAAAGCAAGAACAGATTTGCTTTGTCATACCTCAGCCTACTTGATTGTAAAATTTAGCAACCTGACCATAGTGATTCCATTTTGTTTCTTCACTCTTTTCTCATAAAGAAGGGGCACCTTTCCCAAGTGGAATTCTCTCTCCTTGGACATGTTGCAGAGTACATGCTACTTTTTAGTGCTTTTTCATTCTTCCTTGTAGGTTAGTTTATTGTTTACATTACTGTCTTCCCTTTGTAAGCTCTTGAAAGTTGGAACCCAGTCTTTTCATCTCTTCAGGATGCTGCTCATTCATCAAAACATGTTTATGAAGCACCAAAGGAGGGCAGGGGTGGTGCTAGTGGCTGAGGACTCAGCAGTGAACACTTGCCCCAGACAAGTAAAAGGACAATCAGAATAACAGTTAAATGCTAAGATGGAGTGAGTTCTATGACAGCACCCATGGAGGGGTGGGCCGAGCAGGTCAAAGAGAAAAGGGTGATCTGTTAGGGACTTCAAATAGTTTGGGATGGCTACATGGAGAATGCTGAGAGGTAAGTGTAGAGCAGGGGTTGGCAAACTTTTTCTATAAAGGGCCAGATAGTAAATATTTTAGAGTTTGTAGACCATACTGGCTTAGTCACAACGACTCAAATTTATCTCAAACACAGCCAAAGACAATATGATATGGGGCAGAAATAGAATATTGGGGAGCAGCTAATTGTAAGAAGTATTCATCATGCTCTGTTAACTGTGATTATTGTGCTCTGACTAAAGAAAGCACAGGGGACCTGGGAGCTCACCCGGAAATACAGCCCATCCTCTCCATTGGAGCTGCCTACAGACAGTCCTCGGATTACGTCAGACTCGACGTAGGTCGTTTTGTGGTCACGTCGCCATCACCCATTTATTTATTAAAAAAAAAAAAAAGTTCCGTCAATTCGACGTATGTGCTTTATGTTTTTTATTATTTATTTACCACAAGTAAAGGTCAGGAATTGTTATCTTTCTTTTAATTTTTTTTTACTGTTTTACTTCATTACTGCTGTGTATGTGCTCCATGTGAGTGACGTAGGTGCTTATGCAGGTGGGTTCTGACTTACAGTGAAAATAGAGTTACATTGTGCCGTAGGAACAGATCTCCGACCTAACCAGAGGACCTACTGTATTATCATGAAAAGATTGACAATCTTGTTGCAGAAACCAGAATGGCAGCCCGTTGAAGACCCCAGTCCTTTTGCATATCACTAAGCCCTTTGAAGACCTCTGCCCTTGCATATCACTAAGCCCTTTGAAGACCCCAGTCCTCTGCTTACCTATTAAGTGCCCATTTGGCTGGATTCCCAGTAGGGGGTGTGCAGGAAGCAGCCGGTTGATGATGTTTCTCATTGATGTTTCTGTCTCTAACCTTCTCTCTTCTTCCCTCTCTAAAATTCAATAAAAACGTATTTTAAAAAAACAAGCAAACAAGGGCAGGGCCCTGTGCAACTGCACAAGTGGCCTACCCATGAAGATGGCTCTTGGTGCATCCAAGCTCAGTACTTCCCAAAGAAAGTTAGTTCCAGCTACTGAGTGCTCAGGAACTCTCTGTCAAAATAAAATTCAGTGATAAATATGAATACAGGGAGACATTTTTTTTTAAAATATATTTTATTGATTTTTCACAGAGAGGAAGGGAGAGAGACAGAGTCAGAAACATCGATGAGAGAGAAACATCGATCAGCTGCCTCCTGCACATCTCCTACTGGGGATGTGCCCGCAACCCAAGTACATGCCCTTGACCGGAATCGAACCTGGGACCCTTCAGTCCGCAGGCCGACGCTCCATCCACCAAGCCAAACCGGTTTCGGCGGGGGAGACATTTTTACTAGCTGTGAAAGGAAACCAGATTTTCAGAAGTAGTGGCTCATCAAATACAATAAAAAGAATTTGTAGATCACATGATATGAGAGAGATTTATAGCCCAGATGTGGCAGTTGAAAGTTCAGATTGGGTAAGAACAAGATGTTCCTGTCTTTTAGTAAGGAAAACAGGATGTTATTATTTTTGTGGTTTATCTTGGAAGCAAGGCTTTTAGGATTTCCTGTTAGTCAAGGCTTTTAGGAAGTTCCTGTTATTCATGGTTTATCTTGGAATGCAAGGTTATTAAGAGTGAAAGTCTCACCCTAGCTGGTTTGGCTCAGTGGATAGAGAACAGACTGAAGTGTCCCAGGTTCAATTCCAGTCAAGGGCACATGCCCAGGCTGTGGCTCGATCCCCAGTAGGGGGCATGCAGGAGGCAGGTTCCTGTTAATGGTTTATCTTGGAATGCAAGGTTATTAAGAGTGAAAGTCTCACCCTAGCTGGTTTGGCTCAGTGGATAGAGAACAGACGACTGTGTCCCAGGTTCAATTCCAGTCAAGGGCACATGCCCAGGCTGTGGCTCGATCCCCAGTAGGGGGCATGCAGGAGGCAGCCGATCAATGATTCTCTTTCATTATTGAGATATATATATCTATATATATCTATAGATAGATAGATAGATATAGATATATTTTTTTTTCCATTGATTCCAGAGAGGGAGAGAGAGATCGAAACATCAATGATTGACATTTATTGCGTGGTTAGAATAATGCTTTGTACACAGTAAACATTTTACAAAGTTCTAACTTATTTAATCCTCAAAGCAACCCTGATTGGTAGGTATTTTTACCATTATAGCCCATTTTCCAGGTGAGGAAACAGAGATGCAATGAGATTAAGACACATCCCAAGCCCACGTGGCTAATCAGTTGTAGAGGTGGGATTTGAAACCAAGCAATTAGGATGCAGAGCTGAATTCTTAAGCATGACTATGTATATTGCTGACTCCACATTTTAAAAATAAAAACTTCACTGTCTTCACAATTACAAATTATAAGTATCAAAGATTTAGAGCAAATGGATATCTTAGCCTTAATTTATTCCAACATCTTAATTTTGTAGTTTGAGAAACTTTCAGAAAAGTTTCTTTTCTTTCAGAAAAGATTTCTGGCAAAGAGGGGACTAGAACCTCAGTTTGCCAATCTCTTGATCAGTATATAATTATAAACCTGAGCCCGGCCAGGGTGACTCAGTGATTGTCGACCTATGAACCAGGAGATCACTGTTCGGTTCCCGTCAGGGCACATGCCAGGGTTTTGGGCTCGATCCCCAGTAGGGGGCATGCAGGAGGCAGCCAGCAAATGATTCTCTTTCTTCATTTGTTTCTATCTTTCTCTCCTCCTCTCTTCCTCTCTGAAATCAATAAAAATATATTTTAAAAAAACACCACCCAAACCTGAACTTTAGATTATAACTCTAAAAAGGGCTGAAGATAAACAGCATAAAGGTAATAACGTACTATGTACAGGTTATTTCCAAGTAGGAGTGCCCTTAACTCATGCCAACATGAAAATAACATGCTCTTTTTAGTTAATGTTTTTATATCTCATATTATGTTTTACTCTAAATTGGAAACAATAGTGCCCATGCTCATGAATTCTTGTGCACTGGCTTTTTTTTTTTTTAACTTAATTTATTTATTCTTATTTATTTTTTCAAGCCCTGCCCA